ACAACATTGTTATAGTTTTAAACCTTAAAGGTCAGCACAAAATCAACATCGTGTGGGGCTGCTCTCTTTCTTCTCGGAAGGAAATATAGTTCTTTTAACAATCAGATCGGTAGGAAACGATCAATCTCTCTCTGAATTACCTTTGTTATCATATGTACCTAGCTTTTACCCTAAAGAAAGAAACTTTGACCTGACAAAATCGCCCGCAGAGCAAGTCAAATGCTATTTCTTGCGAGTTTGTTGAGTTAATTTTACACTGATACCTTTTCTTTGCATTTCTTAATGAATAAGTTGCAAGGCGAAGTTTAAAAACAGAGCAATTCGTTCTCGCAATTAAACGCAGCAGTTGTCGATAATGTTTCTGGTACCGTTTATAAGAACACAATAAGCCTTTTTCTAATTTAAAACTTTCATGCTCTCAATAAAGACTTCATAACGCAGAAGCCTATGCGCCTTGTGCCACGTGCTTCTTAAAGAAACACTCCACCTTTGTGAAAAGCTGACCCCGGATTTCTGATAAAAATATTTAGAAACAAAAGAAGTTACTTTCCTCTATTATTAAGAGAAACCAAGATTGGAGAGACTGATCATGAGAGCAGAAAGTATCTACGTGACTTATCTAATGAAATAATTTTAGCTAATTAATAACAGTAGAAACATTTACGGATTCCATCTGCTTGGCTCCTAATATCCCACAGCTTTCAACATTATTTTATTAGCTAATGATTCCCGCTGATGTATCTCCGGTATGCATAGTTTGAAACTTTAAAAGAAAATCACACATTTACCTATCACATTTTTGATTAGTATTTATTGGGTATAAACACAGTTAATTTCTATCATCGGATACCATAGGGTGGGCGTCATTTCCTAACTTGCGTGCAGAAGTGAAAGCACTGGGTTTTTTTTCCGATGGGAAAGAGTTACTTTGATGGATTATTCCTAATTCCCTGTTGCGAGAAGTGCTACCTCCAATTCCGTGGGAAATTGAGCCTTAAGACAATCTATACGTCGGTATCTAACTAGTGGGCATAGTTTCTGAAGATGGAAAAATGGGAAAGGCTGAAACTTTTGCAATTCATTTTATTCCAGAAAGCTACATCGTAAGTCCACAAATCTGATGAAAACAAACAAAAGAAAAATAAAAAATCATTGAAATCAAAACTGCAAACTCCAATTCTGTATCTACGATACAACTAAGAATGCAGAGGTGATAGGGTGGCTATTTAAAGCTAGACTATTGAGTGGTACCGTTATAAGGATCAAGATCGTGTGGCTGGCGTGGTAAGAAAACGTCTATATATGATTTATCAAATAATTTCACTGGCTGCGCTGGTCAGTGAGTATAAACAGCTGACACAGCTGCTAAAATAAAGAAGAAGGTCCAGAATGTGATGTGGTGGGCTGCCAAAGAGTCATGAGCTCACAAAAAGGCAGACCGCAGAATATAAGGAGAGTTTTGAATGAGAAAAAAAAAAACCGTTATTCGCGTCCTATTCCCGCGCAATTTACATTGCTTTCCATAACGCGTCTAAGGTAATAATCAAGTGGATGTACAAGTCAACAGTGATGCTGGAGACAAGGTGGGAGCATCATAAAGATACTTGGAAGATATGCATAAGCACGCGGAACCTTTAATTAGCAATTATTCCAGGTTATGATATGATGTTGGCCCACGAGGCTCGTAGAGCCGACTTGGTTATAATCATATCCAACAAGCGGGAATGGAATAACAAACGGAAGAACAAACGGAATGTTACAATGTACAACTTGTCTTTATGCGCGTCAATGAAACTGTCAAATTGCATTATCCAGTGTTCCTGTTTTTAATAATAAGTGCTTGATCTTGTGTGTCGCATATCGATACCGTTTGTTAATTTTCTTTTGTCTTTTAAAAAAATCCAAAGGGATGCAGTTTTATATAACTTTTTTCCAACACGTCCAATTGTAGATGTAATCTTTCGCCGTTTTCGCGATTTTTTTTTTATATTCAAGCCCTAGATCTGCCGAATTCCTAAACAATTCATTAACATTTTCTGGAAATTTCTCCCTAACTTGACAAGTCATTTTGCCCAGTAATGTATGACAAAAAGATCTACTAAATTGATCTCTGAATTTTAGGGATAAAAGTATGTACTACATTTAGAGTTTGATAGATACATTTTATTCAGGACTGCCCACTGAGCGATGTTTTGCTGTTTTTAAGCCTCACAAAGAAAGGGACTTCGAAAGACAAATTGGCTAATCGACATGATCGTTTCTTGGGTGGAGTCAGCTCTCACTTTAGGCAATAATCTGTTTTAGGAAATTAATTTCTATTGTCAGTTTCTGTCTCACCTGTGAAATTGGAAAAATAGGACTGGGCCCATCTTTCATACTCCCGCAGATTACTTACTAATTTTTGTTCCCACTTTCATTTTATTCGTATGACTGTTGCTGAGGAGAAAGAGAGCTCGGGGTCGCGAAATGAGGTGAGTGTTTCGCTTTTACGCTCTCTACCCAGCAAAAGGAAGCCCAGAGGTTTGAAGAACATCAGCGACTTCTTCAACAAAGCGAGCGTATTGATTTTTACTTCAGAGTAGATTTAGAAAATCGGCTGAAGTGCAACTAACTCTTAAAATAGCGACGCATTTTTCGTATCAAAGAATCAGGACAGCGACCGTAAGGTAGTTCCAAACAAGAACTAATCGTTCATGTTTACTAGATACCAGTCGATCGCGGTAAATGGCCGCCATCTTGAAAGGAGTGTAAGAACAACAACAATAAAAAAACTCAGGTCGATATGTTTTTGGCGGAGACCTCGACTTCTTGGGGAAACTTGAAGTCTCCCCTAACGCCAAAACCTTATACATATTTTATGAGTCTTTTCGAGCCTCAGTGCTGATAACATGTGGACTAGAGCCCTAGTGGTTCTTACTATCTCAACTTGCGATCGTTTTCCGTCGCCAGCTAAGTTAAATTATCTGAAAAGTCCACAATTGATTAGAGTGAATTTATGTTGAGTCCAGTTCTTTAAATGTGCATAATTCCAATGGATTGCTACAGTTAATTCGAGTGGCCATTAATTGTACGTAAGTATATATGCCTTTTTGGATTAAATTTTTTACCGCCTTTTCGAAATTTTTAAATCACGATGATGGAGTTGTGGCGAGAATACCTTTTATTTCTGATTTGAGTAAACATGATGCTGACTTAGTACGAGGAAAAAGTTGATTCAAATCCTTAAATTAAACCAAAATTAGAGGAAAATTTAAAAAAAAAAAAAAAAGGGAAAAAAAAATCCTTCGAGCCGGATTCGAACCAGCGACCTAAGGATAGCAACAACCTCCTCTACAGTCCTCCGCTCTACCAACTGAGCTATCGAAGGAACCACGAGAGGTAAGGCAAATAATTAGTAATTTGAATACAACTGGGTTAAATAAAGCGGTTCTTCTCAAATAAAGAGTGAAATTGAATTGGCCAACTTTTTTTTTCCAGACAAATTTGACACATTTGCCGTAAGATCGAGACCGTCGTATTTAGCACCAGTCATAATTGCTAGAGAAAAGTTCTAGCGACAGCCGTCTCAGTTGTAGTGTCATGTAGCGTGTTGTTGATAACGTTAGTAGTTTAGATCTCTTTATACTCTGGTAACTTGTAATACTCGCGTGGCATGATAAAGAGGGCTTTTCGTGTTACTGTAACGGAACTCGCGCCCAAAGTAACGCCTCATCGTAAGCACTAAGCTCCTTTGAAAGTAAACAATCACTTAAACTTCGTTTGACGCTCAATGGCTGACTACTGAAGCCCGGTCGACTACCGAAAACCGGCCGAATAAGCAAAGCTCGTTAGAAGCCTAAGGAAACAAAGGACTTATTGTAGTTTGCACGATAACAATTTCAGAACAAAACAATCGCAAAGTTGCAGAACTTTTTTCTCATTCTCATGCGTTTTATTTACTGCATATACTGTATACAGTGCAAGGTTCGTGACAACTCTTCAATGAAATAATTTGGATATATCAACAAAGTTGAAATGGTAAATTGGCCACCGTAACGATTACAAAAGCTGACGTTTCGAGCGTTAGCCCTTCGTCGAAGGGCTAACGCTCGAAGGGCTAACGCTCGAAACGTCAGTTTTTGTAATCGTTACGGTGGCCAATTTACCATTTCAACTTTGTTGATACATCCAAATTATTTCGTTACCCCCACCGACGCAGCCCCAAACAGTTTCTTTCGAAACTATCAGCCTTAACTCTTCAATGAGTTGCGCCCAGGAAAACATTTAGGGGAAAAATTCCCTAAATTGCATTAATACAAGTAATGATAATTCGTAGCTAAAAAAATTCATTTCACAATTTAGTTTTCACTTTTTAAGTAGAATTATTACTCCGAAGGTAAGCGTAGAAACCTTCAGCCTTATGTAGCATTAAAAATAAAATTAAAGGCTTTTCGACAAATCACACTGTTGCAATATTACAAATGATGAAATATCGCTAACTGCAAGTTATGCTGTTTTCAATAGATCACATCTAACATATTATTACTGACGGAAAACTATTAACCCCTACATATTAAGAAGAAACCTTAATATGTAATGCCACAGGCAGGTGTGTGTGGTTTAGCCAACAGGAGGATACAAAATATGATGATTTGTATATTCAACTGTCTCCATCTTGGTAAATATCCGTGCTATTTGAAACAACTGATCAAGCTAACATCTACTGCTTACTCCCTAAGGGGCACCAATATTTTATCACTTCCTAAGCCGTTTACAACCACATATGGTCTAAATTCTTTTAGCTATTCATCTGTTAAGCACTGGAACTCCCTCCCTGACCACTTTAGAAAGGCTGTTGATTATAGTGAATTCAAGCGCAAACTGTTAGTACACGGTTTCTGTTAATATTACATTAGTATTACATTATATCATTATGTTAATGATTATTATATTATTACATTATGAATTATTTTTTTATCTATTTAGCCTTGTTCTTGCTGTAACTTTTAAAATTAGTAGTTAGAATCGGAGATACTAGCTTGTAAGCTACACTGAAATCCGAGGATAAATAAAGCTTATGTATGTATGTATGTATACAGTGTGAAAAATACTCAGGTCTTTCTTTGCATCGATGGCCGCAAAATCCAGTAAACATGAATTTCCTACAAACGCAATCATTTAAACGATCGCTTGAACAGATTTTCGTAAGTAACGTAGAAGTCTAAGCCGTCTTACAATCTCTAGCTTTCCCAGCTGACTTCAGTCTCAAAAAACACCGAAGGAAGTGAAGGACATTACCATGTCTCGTGTGAAGAGCCAGAATCCTAGAATGTTGAACAAAAATAACTTCCATGTGTCAATGTGTTGGCTCGTCTTGTAAAGCGCGAGGGTATATTTTAGTCTCACGGCATTTCTTTGTCGCTTAGCTAATAAAAAGAAACCAAAAAGAAAAAACGAGAAAAACTGTGGTTCTATCCTTAAAAATGTCTCAAGCACAGAAAGAAAAAACGAGGAGTAGGGAGCGAGAGAAGCTTGTTAATGAGAGTGCCAGTTGACGTTGGATGTCATAGTTACAAGTGAGATCATGATTACAGTTATGAGAACACAGAGGATATTTGGCTGAGAGATACCCTGATCTATTTACTACCAAACCAAGACGACAACGTTCACCACTGCGGATGAAACGAAAAGTAAGAAGGGGCATGGAGGCCGTTTTTCGATTATCGAGGAAAAATAACACATTACTAGAGAAGAACACTCCCGACAACAGTGGATACAAATACTAATAAAAAGGATGCTCTCATCTATCTACCGGAGAACTTAAAATTTCATAGTATAATCTCTGCTTTAGCTTAATTGTGGATTTTTCAGACATTACTCCACAACTGTGTTGAAGTGTATATCAAACATTGCATGGACATAACTACTTACATATCATATAATTAAAAATAAAGCTGTTATTTAATAAAATGTCTTTTAAAGGACAGCAAACCCCCCCAAAATAAACTATGATAAAATATAGCTATTATAGAACATATACCAACAACTTTACATAAGAGTACAAGGAAATAACAACTTGACGACTGGGGATGACAGCGGCTGATTGCATCCACCGCAAGCTCAGTAAGGTCCAAATTCGTTGATCAGGAAGTTGTACACAAAACGCGCTTTCTTCTGCGCCAATTGATTGACAGTTCTCTTGCTGATCCCTGCCTCTTGATTTTTGGGGGCTCTTAGGAACAAGGTACCGAACAAAGTAGCTGTAGTAAAGGAGAAAGTCTGTTAGCAAACCAAAGGGAAAAAAGAGAGCCAGTGGAGATGGTTATAAATAAATAAATAAATAAATAAATAAATAAATAAATAAATAAATCAGCTTAGGGAAGAGAAAAGCCCGTGACAATAAAAGCTCATACCGTTGGGGTAGCTCTTACTTAAGTCATAACTACGTACATAAAACAGGTTTCAGAAAAATACATTTTCCTGAGAAACCTTGTGTATTTCACGATTCATCAAAATAACCTTTCTCATACCCTGATTTTTTCTTACACCCATTTCAACATATTTTTTTTCGTAACACCCTTGTTCCTTTGCACTCATAGACTGACCCAGAGTTTTGGCGTCCAGTTTATTCTCATTGGAATGTTGTAGCAGCTCTCTCAGGAAGGCACTGATGTATGTGAACACATTCCGATGGCTTTGAGGGATTTGACGTATCAGCTACAAGAAAAAGAACAACAAGAAGACACTTTGAAGACTCCGTACTTCTCTCAAAAACACCTGCATTGATCTACACAAGCAAAATGCAACCACTAAGGTTGGGTTGCACACATATGAATATTGGTATGGATACTACATCACTTTTTGGCCAATCAAGGTAAATATCACAAGGATATTTACCAACGTAAATATCATAAATATCAACGTAAATATCAACGTAAATATCAACGTAAATATCATAAGATTCAAGCCTCAGGCGCGGGAAAATGCGGCGATTGGTTTCAGTTCTACATATGATTGGTGGAGCGAGCGTTCTGGATCAATCATTTTGCGCAGATAAGAAAACCAGATCGCGTTTCTTTTAACTCTCAAAAGAAAATTGCTCTGTCTTACTTCAATGGCTATCAAACAAGTTTAATGGCTGATAGGTTCTTTCCTTACACTGATCGAATTGCAAACAGGAACATACGAAGTCCGCTCACAAACCCTTACAAACCAAATGACAAACCTGTTTACAAAGCATGTAGTTGTTACAACATTCCAGTGCTTTCTGATAAAATGTATACGGAATAACAGGTTCCGGTAAGGCTTCCAGAAAAATAAGTAAAGCCTCTGCTATAGAGTAAACACTACCAGCTATGAAAACAGTAAAGGAAACACAAAAGGCTTTATAACAGTATGGTGTAAACCTACGGTAACTTTAGCACAAAGATTGAAAACATTTTAATCTTTTTTCAAAAAAAAAAAAAAATGACAATTTCCAATGAAACACCAAAAGGATACGCAGTTTGCCGCCTCGGCAACAATCTAAATGTCCCCTGATTTCCTCCAGATCTTTCTCAAAGCCAGACTGCTTCAACAAATTCTCCTACAGTAAACCAAAATATAACGGTTCGAAAGATTGCCTTCGGGGTGCTTGCGTGTAAAAATAGTGGTTTGTCCTACCTGGCGCATGCCATATTTATACAAGTGATCTGTTAGGAGCCATAGCTCTTTTGGAATTTCAAGGGGATGGTTATCCGAGAGCGTCGAAGGATTTGACGCATTGATGTGTTCCTACATGACAAGAAGAAAACATATCTTCGCATTAACACAGTGTTAATAAAAAAGTAATACTTTTTTCAAATTATCTTAAGTAGAAAGTTTGCCCAGAACACCACACATAAATAATTTGAACAACATTACATGATCGAGCAAACAAATGCTCCTCGCTCTTTCAAATTCGCCTCGCTCTCAGTGTATGGCTTCGTGACTCAGTTGATAGTTAACAACTATTCACCGAAGTGGAGGTGGTTAGTGGTGGATATTTACCAGGCCGCTTCGCGGCTCGGTAAACCTCCACCGCTACACCACCAAAAATTGATTTGATTGATTGATTTGCCAAAATTGCAAACCACCTGCGAAGATGACTTCTTTACTTGACTTTCATCTGCTGGTCAAATAAAATTAACTCATTACAAATTGCTAATATCACATAATGCCAAACTTACCAAATCTACAAGTGTTGCAACAGGAACCTCCCTGATAGGTCCGTACATGCGTACTAATGCCTCAATAGAAGAACCAAACACGCTAGGAAGATAGTTACCACTGACTGACACCTGCACACTGTTAAGGGGAGGCGCATTGTGCATATGTTTTTGTCTTTCCCTTACGGAAAAAATTTAAGCAAACAAGAGCCAGGTCCCTAGAGCATTGGAAACCCCAAAGTTCGCAAACATTCTAGCGAACGTAAATCAAGGCAGTTTCCGTCTTTCTTTTCAGTTTCTTTGTTCTATTCCTTACCCATCAGGGAATTGCAGCACTAATATTTCTGTTATGAGTGATCGACAAAAGCAAGATCTACTCTACTACGAGATTAAACACCGAGGAAATAAAAAATGAACAAAATAAAAAAAAGGATAACAAGAAAAAAGAAGTGTAAGTCACGAAAGCGGATCAAGCCAAGTGTGCTGCCTTAGAATTAGCAGGGACCAAATACACGACGCAAGTGGTGTCCATGTAAGCAGTATTGCCCAACTAGGTTTGGTTGTTCTCCGAAAATGAGAGTGATCTGAAAGTAGTTTAAAAGAGGTTGCCAAAGAAAATAATAGATTTGTTGCAGATTTACCATCTGAACTTAAATTCGACATAAACTTCAAGTACTATTTTAGCTTGCTCACCTCTCGATTTCGAGAAGAAATCAGACACCTCTCTCTCTCTCTCTCTATAAACTCTATTGAAAATGTATGTACATAAACAGCATGGTAAGTTTTGACCAGCCATTACGTCTAACGCAAAAAGGATACAAAAAAGTCTTTTCCTCCTTCCAAGTGTAGGACGAGAATATCTTCAAGTTTCTCGTCTCCAGAATTCATGGCTCCGGCGGATTCTTTATCAACATAAACAGTCAAGCGCACCTGTTTTGTGGATCCTGCCATGGTTGGAAACATAAACTATTCAATCATTCTGAAATAGGTTAGACTACGAGCCTTCCCTGCTTTTCGGCGAAGCCCGTCGCACAAGTAAAAAAACAAAGTGGAAAAATGTCAACGCGCCGCGCGGAACTCTGGGAGTGAGGCGCATGAAAAGTATGGGTAACTACTTTTCATGCACCTCAATCCCAGAGTTCTGCGCGGCAAGCCGACATCACATTTTCTCACTTCATTTTGTTTTGTTTTTTTTTACAAACGCGACGGACGTCGCCGAAAAGAAGAGACCGCTCGTATTCTGAAGAGTTTACTTGTAGCTACTTGTGATGTTCCTCAGTCTACGTGTGTATACACTGGGAAAAAATATTACTCTCCAGTAGACATATCGCAAATTTCTTCATTAGCAATTAAAATAAGGAATACCGAATGCCTACCGAAAATTAGCAACGATATGTCTCATTGGTGCGGTAACGAGTCAATTTTATAACATAACCAAAGTAAAGCGCACGCTCTGATTGGTCAATTTAGCGTCCCCCATTTGCCCATGGGTGTACGCTGTTGACGTGAGCAAATGCAAAGACTATTTTTCCGCGCGCGATTGTTTTTTCTGGTCACGTAAGATTTGTTAAATAAAAGGAAACTCTTAGCTACAATGTATCAATGTTATGTTATAAAACAAATGGTAAACACCACAGCGTACACTATTGAGTTATTGGATGCACTTGGGAAGTTTGCTAAGCACTCAAGAAGCTAGAGTCGCTCTCGGCTATCGCCTCGAGCGACTCTTACGCTTCTTTCGTGCTTAGCAACCTCCCGCGTGCATCCATAACTCAATAGTGTACGCTGTGGTGTTTACCATTTGTT